GTTGCAGCCGTCATTGTTGTTTGGCGGGTCCGGGCTGGGGATTCGAACCCGCCACCTTAGGTGTACATGGCTGGCGCCTTAGCCGGGTGAGCTATAGGCGCCCAGCCTTGTTTTTTTCTTTTTAAGAGACAATTCTCGATACGTTGGCTGTGCTAGAGTACCATGGCCCTCAAACTCCTGGGCTAAAATGATCCTTCTACCTCAGCCTCCCAAGTAGCTAGAACTACAGCCACATACCACTGTACCCAGCTTCTAAAATATTTCTTAAAACCTTTTCTGCACCACAATCCAAAGTCAGGGATTTCTTCCTTTTCAATAAATGTAGTGGCCATCCCTCACTTCCATTCCTCACTTGTGGTAGTTGGCATGATTTTAAAAATCAGTCATGGCCCTATTTTTTGACTGTTTATATTTAAAATACAGTGTCAGTGGTAGATATTTACTGAAAAGTTATTTTGTCCCTAAGAAATTGAGACTGTATGTACAAATGCATGTGCTCAGCTTTTATCAGTTCCTTTCGTAGCTTTTTTTTTTTTTTTTGACAGTATCTGTTGCCCAGTGCAATGGCATCATCATAGCTCACTGTAACCTTGAATTCTTGGGCTCAAGCAATCCTCCTACCTCAGGCTCCTGAGTAACTGGGCCTATAGACCTGCACCACCAAGCCCAGCTAAGTTTTATATTTTTTGTAGAGACAGGGTCTCACTACTGCGCAGGCTGGTTTTGAACTCCTGTCCTCAAGTAATCTTTGTGTCTCAGCTTCCCAAAATGCTAAGATTACCAGAAGATGCTTTTTATAGATAGATCGTATAGTTATACAAAAAGGTATTCTTTTTATATGCAAACACAAGCATACAATTCATCCGTAAATTTTATAACATAAATAGAATTTTCTATAGGACAGTTCCATAAATTGACAAATTGTTTATTTGACCCTACTCAGTTTAATTAAATTCAATAATGTAGATGAGTTTATTTCAACTTCTCTTGGAAAAAAGAGTATAATCTAAACTATAGCACTTGTCTCCTTAATTAACTAGAAAATGTGTAAATTGACAGTTTTTTCTATATAGTTGGGTTCTGTTTTATTTGCTTTTTTCAGTGGCTTGAGAATTAATGATGTTCACTTTCACAATGAAGTGGGGAGCAAATTTTTCATTAGAGGGTCGAATGGGCAGACTAAAATCACTTTCAAACTTCCTGAATGAGGTTTAAGATCTAATTATGTTATTTTACCTAGTCCTGTATCTGCATAGATCGTTAGTCTCAATCATAAGGTTGATGTACAAGTACTGATTCTACAACCAACCGTGGTTTGCTTTGCATTACTTATTTTTTTTTTTTTTTTT